GCACTGGAGAGTCCCTTTAAGGTAATCGAAAGTTCTAATTTTACCCGAATTAATTAAATCTTCAACACTGTTAATGCCTTTTTCAGACCATGGAAGAAGATTAATTTCGGGTAACAGATCATTTAAGAGATCTAATTTAAAAGATCGAAAAATGTTTTCTCTTATATCTAATCTCAGTTTTATTTCAGACCAATTTTTCATTATATTGTTTAAAGCAAAACTCTTTAAAAAAAACACACAAAAAACCCCACATATTTTTACATTTCTTGATTAGATAACCAAAACATAGAAGAGATTTTTTTAAAGGGGCCTATTGTCTTAGTTTCAAGTATATACCAACTTTCCTCTTGGGATTTCTCTTGGAAAGTTCTAATTGCATGGGTTAAAAGAGTGGCCTGGACCAGTCTAGTCAAGGATGGGATACCCAATCCTCCATCTTCTTTCCTTGATAGTAGTTTAGAACTAATCCTAGGTCTTTTTTTTGTAACCATATAAATTTAAAGGATGAGTGTAATAGGCTAATCCAGTTGAGGGGATGTTGCTTGAGATTAAATTCAAAATATAGGTTCGTTTAGGCAGGACATATGATTTTATAGTATTAATCCTGCCCCACCAGGATATTTCTCTTTTTATCCAGGTTTTTAGCTTGATATTAATTTCTTTAATTAAAGGGAGCAAGTTAATCTCCATCCAATTTTGCGGATTTGCTGAGATTGTAAACCCTGGATAGGAAAAATGTTCCCTTGCCCAGTGGAAGTCAAAACCCTCCACAATCTGTGCTTTCATCTGTGGTGTTAGAAAAAACGATAGTGCCGTTGTCTTAGAGGTGTTTCATTTTATAGTTTGAGAATCGGCTATATCCTTGTATCACCTCCATTAATTCATTAATTGAGTTTACTGGGTCCTCCAACACAATAAGTACATCATCTGCATATAGCTTTATTCTAATGATCTTTAAAACCTTTTATTTTATTATTTCTTATCTCAGATGCCAGAACCTCAATGGTCATGACATAGAGAAGAGGGGAAAGCGGACAGCCTTGTCTAGTACCATTTTTCAATTTAAACGAGTTAGAAGAAATACCCTGGCCTATTACTTTTCCTGTAGGATTCGAGTATAAAGCCATTATGGCCTGGTGAATCGTGCCTGGAAATCCAAAAGCTTTTAAGGTGTTTAAAAGGAAATCCCAGCTGACCCTGTCAAAGGCCTTCCCAGCGTCCAATGACAGGGTAAGCATTGGGACATTCCATCATTTAGCGGTCTCAAATATATTCATCAATGTTCGTATATGACTTGTTTATGATCGTCCTGGAATGAAACCTACCTCATCTATGTGTATTAAATTAGATATGACAGATTTAAGTCTGTGTGCCATAATACCCGCATACAGTTTTATATCTTCATTCAGAAGAGAAATAGGTCTATAATTTCTAACATCATGGGGATTTTTCTCTTGTTAAATATGGCGACAATATTCCCTCATTGTAGATTGTGACGGACGGCCTGGCACCCCGACCGAGTAGCTCCATCAATCGCTGCTTCCTAGTACTTGCAAGCACCATATTGTGAGCTCCTAGTCCAGAGAGCGAAGCAGGCTGCTCTTGTAGGAGCAAGTGTTGTGATCCAAGCGAGTATAGTGATTATAGCAATCCCCAGAGTGTGACTATAGCTCTCCAATCCCTTAAACATGAGCCTAGACTTCATGAAGGGTAAAAAGAATCTCAGTTTAATGGTAGCCACAACTGGCCTTTTATGACAGTCTCCATGCAAGGGGCACTCCCCCCTGCACCTGAGAGTAAACCACAGTAGAAATAAATACACAATTACATTGGCTCTCAGGTCCAGGACACTCCCATACAAAATCAGACAATCCCTCCTCTGTGCCTGGGAGATAATTGGATTGGGAACTGTACTAATCTAATCCAATGATCTCCAAGTACAGAAAAAACATAAATTTTTACAAACGCCCCAAAAGTACCTTAAAACACACAAAATCCCCAGAAACGTTACATCCCCTGACAGCCCTAATCTGGGTGACCAACATATCCAAAAATCACCCAGATCAGTTCAGCGAGTCAGGAATTTCATGGAAGTTTTATTTTTGACCGACCGTGCACATGGTCCTATGCCCAAAACAGTTCCAAGGAATCACGGCTAACAATTGGTCTCTGACTGGAGTACAAAAGTACATACTTCACACGAACAGAGCCTTTTAACCCCTTAAGGACACATTACATGTGTGACATGTCATGATTCCTTTTTATTCCAGAAGTTTGGTCCTTAAAGGACCACTCTAGGCACACAGACCACTTAAGCTTAATGAAGTGGTCTGGGTGCCAGGTCCAGCTAGGGTTAACCCATTTTTTTTATAAAACTGCTATGTTTAGAAATGGGTTAATCCTTCCTCCAA